CACCCTTTTGTGTCAAGAACTGCAATGCTCAACAGCTTCCAGTGTGTATCAAGAATGGTCCACCACCCAAAGGACATCCAGCAAACTTGACCCAACTGTGGGAAGCATTGGAGTCAACATGGGCCAGCATTCCTGTGGAACGCTTTCAACACCTTGTAGAATCAACTCAATATTAGGAATGTGTTCTTAATGTTTTGTACACTCAGTGTATATCCTAATACATACGGTATAACCACCTCAGGATTATAATATCTCACACCAGTAAAACCAGTAACCAGACCCACATGAGACGTGTATGTGTGCCATTCAGAGGGTGAATGGGCAAGACAATACTTAAGTGCTTTTGAATAGGATATGGTAGGGGGGGTGCAACTCAATATTAGGAAGGTGTCCTTAATGTTTTGTATACTCAGTGTATTCTGCAGCAGGTAACTTTGATTGTAAACTACATCAAACCACATCCACTGCGCACGCCTGTTCGCAAAACTATGTGGGAATACCTGGGATAGGATGAAGTAATCCTTCTACCCCCCCCTTACCCAACCCCCCCTCAAAAAATAAATAAAAAAAAACATATTGTAAAGTGGTCATCCCACTGGCTATAAGGTGAATGCACCAATTTGTAAGTCGCTCTGGATAAGAGCGTCTGCTAAATGACGTAAATGTAAAATGAAATATGGGATTAGAGTATGACAATGTTCTATTTCATACCAAAGTTTGGTGGTTATTGAGGGGGAATGTTGGAAAGATGTTTCGCACTGAGAGAGGAACTGTTGTCATTCACAATGGATATAAAAAAACAGACTTGGTTGACTTTCTGTGTAATGAAAATAAAATAACAGAAAACAGAATCACTAAGTGTCCCACACTGCTCACCTCCAACGCGTGGAAGAGCACTTTGGGACCTACTTCCCAATCCGTTTGACTGTGATCCTGGGTCAATTGACATGCGGGTAAGTGAAATCTAACAGCTGATCGAGCTGTCATGTGACCGAATGTTGCAGACAACGCATTTACGGGTCACTACGGAGGAGTTTTGGTTCCTGACTCAAAGGGAATAATCTGCCGTCTCCCTCTGAGAATTAATGCCGCATTCACAACACCTCGGAACAGGGAACTCGACTTCAGCGCGTTGAAGACAACTGGGAACTTGGAATCAAACGAGCTCCAACTGGGAAAAATAGATTTCAACGGTCATCCAACTCGAAATTCCAACTAGGGAAATTCGGGCCTCTTTCTAGATATCCGACTTTCCGACCTAAAGATCACTGACGTCCAGGGGCGGTGTGTTCAATAGGGCGATATGGGCGACGCACTGCCAAACGGGAAAAGGAAGGGATTTTTTTTCTAATCAATTATATCACGGCAACAGTAGTTATCAGTGTTCTAATCTGATCTGACTGCCACTAAATGTCAAATCAGGCTAAAGTCGTGCTTCAAATGGCCCCGCCCGTTTTTGGGGCGATTTCAGTCATGTTGAAAATCGCCCAGAAGTCTGTCATAGACTCCCATGTAAAATCTATTTTTTTCAAATTTCAAAGCTTTCAATACAATCTCTATGGGTGTCTGTGGGCTTGCACTTACGCGCTTTCGTCATACGTGACGTAACCATGAACGTAACTAAGAAAATAGCGGCTAGCAGCGTCTCTGTTGCGACCTGCAGTGTGGCGTTATCTTATGTTTTTAATTTGTACACTTAGTGGCGTTATTTTATGTTTTTAATTTGTACACTTAGTTTACAAACATTCTGCCAACCATGGATTTCCAGTGGTGGGTTTTGGACTGATCTTGTTGATCGTGTACATACCCGCTACGAACGGACTAAATAATGAAAACGCTGCTGGCAGCGGAATCCAATACAGCTGGGAGACTTGGCTGGATGACAGAGTCCCGGACAGAGAAGTGGAGCCGGCCGGCTTCACCCTGGTCAGAGCGGACCGCGATCTGACACAGTCACAGGGAAAATCGATCCTGGTAAGAGAGCGACTCTGTACCCCCGACATTGAACTGCTTTCTGTGTCACTGCGACCTTACTATCTGCCCCGTGAGTTCCCCCAATTGTTTGTTACCGTTGTGTACTGTTGATAATCACAAGTTTACTGGAGAACTGAGACCAAGTAGAGACTTTGGACAGGGTGGATATGGTATAATAAAGGCAGTTTATTCAGAGGTAAAGATATCTGGAATCGCGTGCACGGACTCGTTCGTCAAACTCTTAGGGAGCTATCTGAAGAGAGCCCCGAAAACATTGTGTGCAGACATTTTATACAATAAATGATGTAGGTTGAATCTAGTAGTTCTGATCTTCTGATTGGTCCTGATGAGTTGGGCGAGGTCCCCTCCACTGTTGCATTGGCTCTGAGTCGGGTTCTCTGTCTTCAAATGTTCAGCCTAAAGAGAGGGGATTTTTGTGTGTGTGTGTGTGTGTGTTTAACAGTGATGATGTGTGTGTGTGTGTGTGTTATCAGTGATGATGTGTGTGTGTGTGTGTGTGTGTGTGTCCTCAGAGCAAGAACTTGTGAGTTGGAAGAACTGAGAGACCTATGGCGTGGGTGTTGTCCTTGGCCACCTGCTGACAAGGCTGACAAGATAGGACTCTTTTGTCCATTGTTATAGGATAGGAACAGCATTGATTGAAAACAAACGCCCAACACAAAATGGGTCATGCACAAGATTTTAGTCAGACCAAGCTATAACATTATATATTTACTACGACAGTACATTCAACCAAAAGCTAATATAACAAAGGCATCAGAGATTATTTATAATCTGTCACAGAAACTGGAATCCATCTCCCCAGATCAGTCAATAAATGCTTCTGGTATTGACTTATATGCTGCCCCTGTCTTCATGTTGTTGCTGGACATATCTTTTTTAAAATGTGTGTAGGTCACCTAAATCATCAGAAAAATTGCCCCTCCTGAGAATTTTTTCAGGAGCCGCCACTGCTGACGTCATGATATGACCTAGTATTTTTCAGTTCCTAGTTGTCTTGAAAGCACAATGAAACTCATGGTAGCCTACCCTTTGCCAGCTCATAACTGTATGAAGCTGGATTCAGTGCTCTCGTCTGCAATAAAACCAAATATCGATTTAGGTTGGATGTGACAGCAGAGATGAGGTGCGCACTGTCGACCACGCCCTCTGACTTTGAGAACCTCGGACGCGACGTGCATCAAGTACACCCATCTCATTAGTAGTGGTGAGATAAGAGCCATTATGTCAGACTAATTTGCAATTGACTGTTATAGCCCCACATTGAAAGTATGTGATCGTGAGTTGTGAAGACAATTAGAAATACTGTTAGAATGTTTTTCAATTGACTGCCACAGCCCCAAATAAAATTGGCTGTTAATTACATCATTTTTTCACATGGTTGGGTTCGCGAGAATTTTCAGACATCAGAATGGGTTCGTGGGCCAAAAAAGTTTGGGAACCCCTGGCCTACAGAGTTGCAGAAGTACGGAGAAGAAATAGAAGACGTCCAAGGGTTGTCTAATTCTCATACACACTCTAAAAAATGTCTGTGAACGTGACACATCTGTCTCTTATATAAGAGCAAATGTACTGCTTTCCTATCCTAGTATTCAAGGTCATTTTCAATATTTTACATATTTATATGTACAGTACATTTAATGTTGCAGAGTTATCTTTAGGATGTCAGTGAGATGGATGGTAGGTGCAGTAGATGGTACACTCCTGAATCAGAATGTGTGGGTCAAAAAGGATTACAGTCCAAGTACACACTCTTAGAAAAAAAAGTCCCCATAGGAGAGCCCCTTGAAGAACCCTTTTTGGTTCCAGATAAAGTCTTTCTACCTGGAACCAAAAAGGTACCTGGAACCCTTTTTTCTGAGAGTGCAGAGTGCCTTGGGTGAAATATTGATGAGTGGGGCCTGTGGCTGGGGCTGTGACTGCATGTGCCCTACCAGACCCAGGGTGTTGGGGGTCTGGAGGCAGAGCATGTGTGCTGCCTACACCCCAGGCCCGCATCAATATTTCATGGCAACACACAGACGCGACATCATGATCTATTATTATCTCTTTGACCTCCCTGCATTGTCTTGTTCCTGGCACTTGTGTTCTCCTCAGACTGACATAAGCCACAGACACGGCTGAGAAGGAGTACAGGATTTATTGCATGGAGCTCAGGCACTATAGATTGCATACAGTACATGTATAAGTCATCATAATACAATGGAGTTATGTAAGTGTACTGAATAATTGCTATTACAGTATGTACTTATGCAGATAAAAACACCATGAATACATATCAGAATGGGTCAGAGGATGTATAATTCTTCAGATATCTCTACAGGGGCAACACGATACCCGCCTAACACATGATTTCTCCACATCACTGCAACAACAAAGCACTTAAAGTAAAATAGATTCATTCCATTTTGGGGTGGCCAAACTAAATACCCTTGTATATATAACAATAGATACTTAAGATTTATTTTAAACTGTGGCCACATAGTCTGCATGCAATATATATATATATATATTATTCTTACATAACAATTGTGTAGCAATCTGCACACATATCTCTAGGTTATTTTCTTATTCATTTATCTGATAGATTGAATTCTACTGTGACATAATACTTTGATGGAGTTTACACATACGTTTCTAATTTCTATGAGCATTTAGGAGGGATATTTGTAACATGAACTGCTACAATATATATTTTCCTAAATCTGGAGGGATAACATGTCTCAATTTCAAATGTATGAAATGTGCTATATATAGCCAGTACAATAAAATAATAGAAATAACAAATATGATTCAGTTATCTGTCACAAAAAGTGATTTATACAATCAACAATGATAACTAATGATAATAATAGTAAAGTATCAATATAAGTATCCATATAAATCTTATGGTTGGTACCTACCAAAGCATAAATATTCACTGTTGTGTGCATACCTTTTATAGTGCATTGGATTACTGCAGTCCATTAGTGGGTGCTCTGTTTGAAAACACAAATCACAAGATTTTATGCCCCATTAAGTAATTCTCCTCTGAGTTTGGCAGAGATCTTGTAGTTCAGGGGCTTCAGTGTTAACCCATAGGAGCAGTCTAAGGAGAGGTCCTGATTATTCTCAAAACTGCACTGGTGAATCAAAATAGCAGAAAATAAAAAAACCTCCACTTTGGCGATTTGTTCACCGATACATCGCCTCTTCCCTGCTGAGAATATCAACACACTGTTGGTCAGGTCCTTGTCAAGGGCACCATTTTCATCTAGGAACCGTGAGGGGTCAAAAAGATGTGGGTCCTTCCACTTTAAAGGGTTGTGGTTGACGGACCACTGGTTAATGAAGACCACCGTGTCTTTGGGGATGTGGAAGCCTTCGATGGTGACATCTGAGGTGGTGGAGTGTGGGATGGTGAGGGGTACAAAGCTGGTATAGCGCATGGTTTCATAGATAACAGCATCTAGGTAAGCCAGGCTGGCTTTGTCCTCAATACAGGGCAGCCTGTCACGGCCTACCACTTTGTCAATCTGCTCCTGCACTCTGGTTTGGATTGTGGGGTATTTTGCCAATAAAAGAAGCATCCAATGAAGGCAAGTGGACACAGTATCCAGTCCCGCACCAATCAGATCGGACACTGTCCCTTCTGTGTGGGCCTCCGTCAACCCGGTATCACTGCCTGCTTTGTCAATTACCTCAATAATGGCGTCACTCATGTCCCGGGTCACTTCAGGGTCAAACGTCTCCCTGTGCTCCACCACCTTGTCTCTCACAAAGGTGAAAAACTCTTTATTGAGGTCTTTGAAGCTCTGGTAGACTCTGCGGACAGGATTTGGGAAATATTGAAGCCAGGGCATGACATCCACCAAGCTGCCAGCCCCCACCGTCTCTCCAAACTTGTCCACGCTGCCCAGAAGGGTTCTAAACTCCATGTCATCATGTCCATAACGCTTTCCAAAGCACAGGGCACAGATTACATTAGCAGCAGCTACTGTCAGTTCATGAGCAGGGTTGAAAAACTGTCCCTCAGCACTGAGTTTGAGGAAAGCTTCAATTAGCTCAGTGGCCTCTGCCACAATGTGCTGTTCAAATGCTTTTTTGGTCTGGCTGTTGGCAGAGTAGAAAGCTCTAATGGTGGACAGAGCGATCTTCCGGTGGGTCCTCCACTGTTTGCTGTAGTTAGAGAATGTCATGCTGTTACCACCTGACACAGACTGAAAAGACACAAAGTTTGGGTCTGCCTGCAAACTCTGTGCTGTGTTGAACCAAGGCTTCTCGTATTGCTGTGTCTCCATTGAGCACCACTATGTTGTTGCAGCCCAGTCGTATCTGATACACGTTGCCGTACTTCTTTGCCAGCTTGGAGAAGGTGATATGAGGCATCTTCCCCAGCTGCATGGCATTGCCCACCACCGGCCAGGCAAAGGGTCCTGGCAGCCTTCTCTTGAGTCTGAGATTCCTGACCCACAGACAGGCTTCTAGACAGAAGAGGAAAACAAAGGAAGGCAACCAGAGCTGGCTGGACCTGTCCACTCCACTCCCTGATGATGCTGCTGCCCTTCACCCCAAACTCTGTGTCCAGCAGTGCCATGGTGCTGAGATGTTCTAATTCTGGTGCCCAATCCTTCAAATTCTGAGAGAGATCCCACTTTTCTTTGTTGAACGTTATTCCTGGTAACCGGATATTTAAAATGGGTCCTTCTCCCCACCTCAATTCCAAATAAACAGAATAAAAATGTTGTCTGTTTTTAAGTATGGTCAGTCCTACATTATCATCTGAAAATGTATAAAATGAATCAAGACATCGAAGAAGGTTTTCAGCGCCACTTACACACTACTGTGTCTGTCTCCTCCTCCTCCGTGCTGGTTTGTGAACAGGCTCGATCAGGTTGAGTGGTTAGCAGTAGTGCAGTCGGTGTCCGTCTTCAGATGACCACATTAGAGGAATGCAGATTTCAGCCTTGACACTCTCCCTTATATCTGCTCAGTGGGAGGGTTCAGGGACTTAAAACTCCTATTCATTTTTTTTTTTTTTGTGCCGAGGTGCTCATTCCAGCGGAGTCTTTCTTATACCTAACACTCAATGCCACTGTGAGACAAAGAGGAAAGCAGCAACCAGTCAGGCCTGCCAGCCAAGGACTAAAACAGAAGGAGTTTAGATTTAGCGGGCCAGAGGGTCTAAAAGACTGGGCTGCACTACCTTTAAACACAATACAGGTACCCCAGGGGAGAATTTTAGAACATGGTGTAGTAGTTAGGGTTCAACATTTCAGTCACACAGACCACCATAGCTAAACTCACCATAGCTAATCTCAGGGGACACTGATTGGTCCGGTTATATTCTAGATTATGAAAATCGCTTGATTGCCTCTTTATAGGAGCGATTCCAGACTGAAATACAGCGTATATAAAGCAAAAGTCTCAGTGAAGTACCCAGGCTAAGGCAGGACGACTTGTAACTTTGGAAGGAGCTTTCTTCTGTCGATTGTAAACTAATGTATGCATTTTTTATGACATTATTTTATTTTTGTTAATCTGTTATTTTCAGCCTATGCTCTGTTAACTCTAAACACCACTAGGAATAGAATCCAAGATATGACCACGAAAGCTCTGGGTTTTGGATCTGGACACAGACAGATACACACTGTACAATACACTTTTATATGTTCTATAAAAGTATATACAGTATTTACCAGAGTTTTTCTTAGCATAATGGTCATTTTATAAATAGTAAATGAGATAATGTAGCTCTTAGGCTGGTGGCTATATCAAAATAGTTTAAAAATGAATTCAAAACAGGGACCTCTGGCAATAACACTAGTAATAAGGCTGTTCAGAGAAACAAATAACCTTTAAAAAGTAGACCTACTTGGGTTTCAATGCTATTCAGCAGCAATTTAACTACTATGGAATTCTGTACTCTAATGGACCAGTGATAGTTATGCTGCAAGGAGAGATTCTTCACTTGTATCATGTATTGTTGCTAAACCAGATCACAATTCAAATACATTTTATAATAATAAATAAATATTTAAATAAATAAATAAATAGTTAAATAGTTAGGTGGGTGCTTATATTTGTCAGACTTCACACGTGTACAAGTTTGTATTATACACATGTTGTACATTATATTGTATTTGCATATCCCAACACTCCGTTATCAATGGCGACCCTGGAGCAATTAGGGTTAAGTGCCTTGCTCAAGGGCACATAGACAGATTTTTCACCTTGTCGGCTCGGCAATTCAAACAAACAACCTTTCAGGTTACTGGCCCAACGCTCTAAACGCTAGGTTACCTGCCACCTGATGTGTTTCTGACAGTTTTGATTAGAGAAAACATGCAGGACTGGTGTAGATTAGCTGTAAAACATGATGAATGTTAACAGTGGTAAAGACTTGTTTACAGTTTTATTATATGTTATCACATGTTTATTGTATTTTAAAATGTACCCTAGAGTGTGTATTTCCATAACGATCTTTATTTTGTCATATGTTATGCACCAGCTCATATTCATTGCACTGTACATGGAGTGTGTTACTACAAAGAACAACACATTGCAATGGACAGGAGATTGCACTCCTTCCAATTATGAGATGCTTAATGGGTTAACCAATGACAAACAAGAGAGAAGCAGAATCAGTCACTATCAACCCCTGACTGTTTTAAACGTTGCTTTATTCATTCCAGATATAGCTTATTTTTCAATCGTATATATATATATATATATATATATATATATATATATTTTTTTTTTTTAATAACAACACAGTATTTTCTATGATGAATCCTTGCCTGGACATTCAACACATGCTGTAGTTGAGTTTCTTGGTTTGAGAGAGGCAGAGATTCTGAACACTATTTCATAAATTCCTGAATACGTGCTCTTTGACAAAGGTGAAATGACATCCATATAGATTTCAGACCCTTGAGGTGTAAACAGACATGCGTTTGTTTAAATACATAAAGACTTGAAAACTCCATTGATTTGTGTAGTAGTATTGTATTTAGTGACAGTTGGTTTGGATAGAAAGGGATGGGTTGTGTAGCTGGAGTGCCTGTTCAGTAGATTTCTAAGGAGATCATTGCAGTCAGTGTCTGGAGTTGGTCATCTCTCATGTGTTCATCAGCATTATCAATCCCACACTTCTAGACTGCAGTAGAAACCCACCTCTCCATTGAAACACCTCCAAACTTTATTGGGGACACTGAGCTTGAAGTTACACAGAGGTGACAATGCTGTTATCTCTGAATTGTCTTCACACTGTAGGCTGTGGCAAATACATAACTTGATTTTCCCTTTAGCAGTTCATCAGCATCTGTTATCTTCCGACAGTATTTCAATGTGTTCATATGCATGGTGTACAGTAGATAGTGGTTTGGATTATAATACAAATATTGTTCATACCTGAAATATATCTATACAAATATTTTGTGACTGCTTTATGTGAAAAGGTTAACTACATTGATACATCACCATCTTGATGAGAGGAATCCAAAAAGTCCTCAAGGCAACAAACTATGGTCCCTCAGGTGTGACTACAACATTCACAAACACTCACAAGCATATTATACTGTGATATGACTTTCCATTGACTGTTGAGTGCTATTCAAGTTTCATGCACATATTTTCATACGTTAACATGCTGAATACTGTATATGAAGTACGCTCAAAACTCAAAATCTATATAAAACAAAAGTATACTGCCTTAAAGAATATGATCAACTACATAGTTTGAGAACTTGTTCAACTTCATTGACCCCATGACCCGACCCCTGGCCCCCAACACAGGAGATTCATCTCTGCCTAGCAAACTTTCCATTACTGTAATCATACTTTCAATTCTGTATCAACAACATTGCAAACATATTAAATTGTGTTCAGATATTAAATATTAAATATTAAATATTACAGTCCTCAACAACAGCATTCAGTGCAGGTTTGCTTATACTCACTGTAAAATGTAATTGATTGGCAAAGTTGTCGTTTTGCTGGCCTTGAGTCACAATATTGGGATGAGATTTTTATGCAGGTGATACCAGACCGAGCAGCTTCCCCCTGAGCTTGGTTGTGATGGTGTAGTGTAGGGGCTTCAGTGTGAGCCCATAGGAACAGTCAAGGGTCAGGGCCTCTGATGGGTTGCTCTCAAAGGTACACTGGTGAAACAAGATGGCTGTAAATAAAAATATTTCCACCTTGGCAATCTGGTTGCCAATACATCGCCTCTTACCAGTGGAGAAGATCATGACGCTGTTAGTTAGGTCCTTGTCAAGGGCACCATTTTCATAGAGGAACCGTGAGGGGTCAAAGAGATGTGGGTCCTTCCACTTTAAAGGGTTGTGGTTGACGGACCACTGGTTGATGAAGACCACTGTGTCTTTGGGGATGTGGAAGCCTTCGATGGTGACATCTGAGGTGGTGGAGTGTGGGATGGTGAGGGGTACAAAGCTGGTATAGCGCATGGTCTCATATATAACGGCATCTAGGTAAGCCAGGCTGGCTTTGTCCTCAATACAGGGCAGCCTGTCACGGCCTACCACTTTGTCAATCTGCTCCTGCAGCTTGGTTTGAATGTTGGGGTATTTGATCAAAAGCAGCAGAATCCATTGTAAAACGGTTGACATTGTGTCTTGGCCGGCTCCAATGAGGTCTGTGACTGTTCCTTCAACAAAGTCTTCAGCCAGTCCACTGTCCTTTCTGTGCTCAATCGCGTTAATGATAGCATCACTCATGTCACGCGTCACGTCAGGGTTGAAGGTTTCTCTGTGCTGCATCACTTTATCTTTCACAAAGGCAAAAAACTCTTCATTTATATGTTTGAAATCCTGGTAGACGCTGCGGACAGGATTTGGGAAATTCTGAAGCCAGGGCATGACATCCACTAAGCTGCCAGCCCCCACCGTCTCTCCAAACTTGTCCATTCTGCCTAGGAGAGTTCTAAACTCAATGTCATCATGGCCATAACGTTTTCCAAAGCACAGTGCACATATTACATTTGCAGCAGCTACTGTAAATTCATGAGAGGGATTAAAATATTGTTCATCTGCACTCATTCTCAGAAATACCTGCACAAGATCCATACATTCTCCCAAAACGTGCTGCTCAAATGCTTTCTTGGTCTGGCTGTTGGCAGAGGAAAAAGCTCTAATGGTAGATTGTGCAATTCTCCTGTGCATTTTCCACTGTTTGCTGTAGTTAGTGAATGTCAAGCTCCTGCCTCCTGAAATCATCCGAAAAGACACAAAGTTTGGTCTGCCTGCAAACTCTGTGCTGTGTTGAACCAAGGCTTCTCGTATTGCTGTGTCTCCATTGAGCACCACTATGTTGTTGCAGCCCAGTCGTATCTGATACACGTTGCCGTACTTCTTTGCCAGCTTGGAGAAGGTGATATGAGGCATCTTCCCCAGCTGCATGGCATTGCCCACCACCGGCCAGGCAAAGGGTCCTGGCAGCCTTCTCTTGAGTCTGAGATTCCTGACCCACAGACAGGCTTCTAGACAGAAGAGGAAAACAAAGGAGGCAACCAGAGCTGGCTGGACCTGTCCACTCCACTCCCTGATGATGCTGCTGCCCTTCACCCCAAACTCTGTGTCCAGCAGTGCCATGGCTATGGATTATCGGAACACCTATTCCTGGAGACAGATATTGTGAATGGAAAAAAACACTACAAAAAAGTTCACAGCTTTAGTCCAGCACTCACTTTTTTTGTAAAAATCAAAAATAGAATAATAATGTTCAAAAGGGATTTTGTGATGTACAATGAAATGAATTAATCAATTAAACAAGTTCAGTTAGTTTAAAGTCCCAAGTATCCTTCTGAGACCATGGTGACAGTCTCAGTACATTTTGGGAAGCTTGGTGAGTTATGGTGAAGTTTTTTTTCTCTAGTCACTTGTTTCAGCAAGATTTAAGACTTTGTGACTAGTTTTGCTTCAGCACGGTGTCTTATATGTTTGCAGACGGTGGGTAGGGCTGAGCATTATTTTCATACTCCTCCCATTGTGGTAGCCCTATATATATTATCGTTCTGCTGTTGGACCTCGACGCGCGCTACGCACTGGAAACAAAACCGCGCAGAGACCTCTGTAAGTTTAGGAGGAAAGTGACAATTACTTTACAAACTCGAATAGTAACAGTGCTATACCATGTTAAATGGTTATACTTTCTTAAATTGGTTGTTATAATTTGAAGATTCAAGAAAAGCGTATAGCATATGGTTTGTTTCTCTTTCTGATTTTAGTTTTGCCTTGTAGCTGTGTAAAATGTAAAACTGTTTACGATAAGTTTTAATTTTACGTTTATTAATAAGTAAATGGAATATTTAGTTGCAATAGTCGATAAGGTATGGGTGGCTTTTGTGCGCGTCTGCATGGACATTCTATTCTCTTTATAAATTACCTTATGTAAACTCTGTTTAGTGTCTCTATAAAATAACAAAATTGCTTTATGTAAACTCTGTTTAGTGTCTCAATAAAATAACAAAGTGAATGTAATCATGATGCCATGTAGCCCAATAAATGTGTGTTTAAAAATCATGGGTTTATAGTGAGTTTTACAACTTTTCAGGTACTGTGCGCGCGCTGCATATGGACTGTTTTATTACCAATGTGATAGTCTTTTTCTTAATTTATAATTTGAAACATAATGTAATTACATGTAATCGGTTCAAGGTAGTCAACAGCACATATTTAATTGACTAAATCACTCAACTATGTCGCGCTTCAAATCGAATGCTCATGTGGAACTCTGAGGTCCAGTGAAAGTTGTGCAGGAGCCTAGCCGAGTCCGAGTGCTTTCCATAATATTGCGCAAAGATGAAACAAATAATATTTGTAATAATAATAATAATGTAATAATTATGTTAGATCTTTATCACTATGAATATCACTGTCATTTGAAAATGACCCACAGTGAATGTCTGTACATGGATGCAACTCAGATAATGATCTGTGTGGATTGAAATATTGTTTAGAGACTATTTATAGACTGTTTATTTTGCCATTATGAAGAACTACCACTCTGCCACTCATGTAAAGCTCTCAAGTTATTTAAAAATTTGAAATCCAATGTTGCATTTTGCAATGCAGGTAAATAGACGAATTTGCCTTACATAAATATGCTTATACAACATCTTAGCATAGAAAAATCCATGAAAAATTCATGTTCACATTTTCAGTAGGTCTCATGCTACAGCATTTTGTCAAGCATTTACAGTACAAAGCATAAGTGGCTGTAGTTTTGCACATAAGACCCATGTTTCAGTTGTACGCTATCCAATGGCAGCTTCCTTTTATCACAGTACACCTCAGGTGCCCTATGAAGTGGCTTTCCACAAAACAAGGCTGTTGAGCTCCAAATAGTTAGCAGGAAACCTTTCAGGAGATCAGAAGGTTAGAATGACATTCTGGCCCCTCAAAAGGTGCAGGAGAAATGGTGACACTCTAAATATGTAGGTTTTGGTATCTGAGATGTATCATGCTTTCATGCCTGGTTGCCCACACACATCACGGTCAACCTGAGTCCTGTCCTTGGCATTCATTACAAAGTACAGTTTATTCCTTATGGAAATCACTGGTCCATTGATTCTATTAACCTTTCAGCTCAAAGACTAATTTTAGTTTCTGAGGCAAAACTTTTTTCCCCCTCAGTGCCAAAGAATACATTTGCGTTTCTAGTTTCCCCACCAACTGTGAAGTTTATTTTGCCAGGGAGGTAATGACGCTAATTGAAGGCACTAAAACATTTCATAAGTTAGAGGGACAGAGACTTCAGTAATGCTCCAGCACAGTCACTCATTATTGGTGCATGAGGAAATGGGAAATGGGGGAGTGGGAATTCTCACTATGGGTGTTGAAGAAAGAGTGTTAAAGTGATAAACTTTTTCAATGTTTTGGTCTAGCTTATTGAACATGTATATCACATACCATATTTTCACAGCTGAGGTTAAAAAAAATGTATTTAAGGGATCAATCTGATCTGACTAAGCCTTTCTTAAGTTGATTAAAGTATGATTTCAGCTGAGATGTTATTAAAAATGAGACTTACAAAGAGAAAGTGGTAGCAAGTCTAACAGGCCCTGTGGTCCCTGTAGAGTCCACATTACATGTCACATACTGAGGGATAATTAGCTATGTTAACCTAATGTTTCTCCATAAGGAGCAATATATACATAAAAAATTTACATAAGCCAACATTTTTATTCTTATTCTAAGGTATGACTGAGGTACAGTAATGTTGAAGGTGGGAATAAAGGATGGGAAAAGGTCTATAGGAATACTTTTAACTCCAAAAATAACAAGAGAAAGGGCTGTAAGGGTGAAAAAAACATCATGTTTATTTTTTAAGTTTCTTGTTCCTCTGAGACTTGAAATGGAATTCAATGTAAATTCACGCAATGTGGAGCATAGCTTAAATGTCAAATGGAACATTAAACAGGCTTTGTATGTTTTACTACTAGGTTTAATTGGTTGTTGCTTCTAATTGGTTGAGTGAAATACATCTAGGAAGTTCCCACAGCTCTTAGAGCAAATGTGAAAAGGCATCTCTATTCCACAGTTTGGCCACAAT